AATAAGATAAGGTTCTTAAAACTTTAAAGAAAAAAATAAATAGAAAATTAGATATGTAAAGTAATCTAAAAATTATATAAGAAAACCTAAAGTAATATGTATATAGTATTTACAAAATAAATATTAAAATATTTACAAATAGATATTAGAATATTTACAATATATTAGAAAAAGAAATTTATATATCTATAACTTAAATTTACCAAAATAAAATTATAAAACTCTAAGCATTTCATTTGAGATTCAATAAAATAATAGAAACAGAAAACAAAAGACATTAGATTGTGATGACCAAACAGAAAGATACAAACACGTATGCACTGGGGATATACGAACACAACCGTGGCACTTGTAAGCAACACACTCAGATTCGAATACCGCAAAATCAAAACGAAAACGTGAGCATGAAAACGCAATGAACAAAAGTCGAACTACCTCAAATTCGAAACTCCTTCTGCTTGGTTTCGACTTCTCACTCTTCTCCTTCACTTCCGTTTCTGTTCTTCTTTTGGCGGTGCGGCTGTGGATGGTTGATTATCGGAACGATGGCAGCTTGATTTCTGATGGTCTACAATCTCGCTCACCACGTGTTCGATGAAAGTACTGCTGTGGTTTGGATGCTGGTTGCAAAGTTTACAGTGAGTTTATGAGGAAGATGGATTGTTGAGTTGGGTTTGAAGTTGAGGTGGTAGTATGAGCTGTTCGAAAACGGTGTTCAAAGGTGAGGGAAATGAAACGAAGGTTAAGGTTGCTGCAAGAATGGGTGGATGATGAGGATGAAATTGGTGAAGAGTTTGGGGTGGCTGCTGCAATGGTTAGGGTTTCTCCTTTTTTTTCTACCAGCCTCCTTTCTGAATGAATGGTAACAAAATATATATGATGGGAGATTAGGGTTTTTTTTATGTTTGAATCAAGATAGTGTATCATTTCTGCTAGCACTTTTTGATGCCCAGACCATGTCTTTCCATTTTAGTGAATCTGGCTCTGCTGTCCTATTTTCTTGTCTCTGAATTTCGTCTGTTTGTGCTGACTGTATCTTCTGTTATTTACTCATGATTTTCACTGTGGTAACACAACAATTTTACTGATACAAACTTGCTGATGTGGTATTTCTTCATTCTTAACTGAAAACAAACTCTTGGTCTGCTGAGAATGCTCTTCCTCTTTGTTATTATGGCTAGGGGCTGATTGGAGACGAAGTTGTTGTTGCAGAAGGTACACAATCTCCTGAGCCTCATCATCTTCCTCCCTGTATGCCTTTTTTGGTTCTTGGGATTGATGCGAAGAACGCCAGAAAGTTATATATCTCAAAAAAAATCATATTCTCCATTTCTAGGATACAGTTTCGTCACCATCTGGTGTCAATACCATTGATGCATGACAGAAATTACCGAGGACAACAAAACTGCTGTGTTCGAAATTGGATACTATCATTTGACGGAAAATAATTTGCAGAACCGCTGTGTTCTGCTTGAACAAATGTTTGAAGACGACGTTGTCTGTTCACGATAAGAATTGTTCGGATACAAAATTCTCCTTTTCCGTTTTGTTCGAAATAGAGAGTCTTTTGTATCTAAAACGTATGAAACCTTGGATGAATTGCAAGCAATCTTACATTCCAGACCATTGGTAACTTGTACTCCATCCATAATCTGGTTTGGAAATTCATCACTCCAAGCACATTTTAGCTTATTCCTTTTTAAGAAAATTCCGGATTTCTCCTTGCTGTCGGGGACAACAGATAAGAAGTCGTTGTGCAGATAGGCTGAAAAATTAGGATCTATTGACACAGCAGTCACTTCAGGCTTATCGTGTCCGTAATCCATCAACTGAATAGACAATCGGGGCGGTGTAGACGAACACTCAATACGATATATGTTCTCATCATGAAGAAGAACACGTGCATTTTCATGATAAACTATATCCACAAAGCTTCCAGGTTTTCTTGATTGCTCATATGCATATAGTTGAAGAAGTTTGCTATCCATCTCATCAGTAGCAATGGCAACAGCTTGAAGCTGTTTAACAAGTTTATATATCAGCTTGTCTATCGTGAACAAGACATACGACTGAGTTCCAATAATAGCACGACAGTCATCTTCAAATTTTGAATTATCAGAAGAGCCATCCAGCAAACTGTAAAGAGAACTCATGAACCTGCCATATTGATCAGTAGAAACTGTATCATTTGAAGCTCTCCATTTTCTTTCAGCAGAGGATGAGTTTATCTTGGCTGATTGTATCCTCTCATACAATGTCTGATGAAGTCTAAACAGCACATAAAAGGAATCATTTCCATAAAAAATTTGAACATTCTTTTCTTTCCCGTGCACCACCGGGCAAACATGTTTTACCAGAGGCTTTACCGTGAGAAGAAAGCGTTCAGAGTATGACCCTTTGATGGGAAAAAACTTGAGAATCAGTGCTCAACAGAGTGCTAAATATATAAATAAGTGCAACATGATATCTATGGTGATCCTCTTCTTAAAATTGACACCATTGTTCACCGAGAACTGCTTGTTTTCTGCTTGGCCTTCTCAATGAGGGGCTTCAACTGCTTCTGCTTTGATATCTGGGTTAGGCAGGATTATCTCTGCCTCGTCCCTTGTCTCAGTAGGAATCATCTCCCCCGATACTGCCTCTACAGTTTTCGCTATTTTCTTTGCAGTTGTGGGCTTCTTGGTTTTACTAGCAGGACGCTTTATCGCTTGATGCTTTACTTTCAACTTTGAGGTTGGGTCTAACAGTGAAGGTGATTTCTGTTTTTCAGTTTCATTTGTGAATTTTTTAGGAGGCATTACTTCACATTTTTCATCAGGTTCAACTGTTTCTAACTTGTCTTCTGTTGAGGTGTCAAGTTTTTTTTGAAAGATGAACCAATTCCTCAGGAGCCATACCTAACTCAGATTCACATTTGTCATCTGGAGCCTCTGTTTCATCATCCAAAATATCAGTTCTGCCACCAGCATCTTCTGCATATTCACTAACCGCTTTTTGCTCCATCAATTTGTTAACATCAAGGACTGGGGGTGATGCCTGACGCTTCTTAGCACCAGAAGTTGCTATTTCTTTGCTTCCACTGGAAGAACTTAAGCCTTCATCTTGCTGCATAGTTTTATTCAAGCAAACTGAACTCTTCAGTTTAGCAGTAGCACCTTTTCTGGGTCTAGAACCCAAAGTTCTCTTGACAGTTGATTTCTTGCAGGGTGACCTTCTAACCAGCTTATCGTTTTCTTCATTGCTTAAATCCCAATCATCAAGACCAGCAAACCCTTCACTCTTTGACTTCTTTCCTGGTGATGAAAAATCAAGATTTGTAGTGATATTATGCTCCTCTTTCTCTTCCTCCTGTCTTTGGAAGATATTTTTCCTTTTTTCTACTTATATTTTTTTAGCATCAGAGCTATCATCAGATGATAAGGATTTCACTGACTTTTTCTTTTTGCCTATTGTTTTGAGTTGGTCCTACATTGAAATCAGTCTTCTGCAGGTTTGTAGTTTGAGCTTTGTTTACGAGTTTGTTCCGCAGGGTGACGCTCAACCTTAACCTGCTTTGAACTCATGTCTTAGACTACATAGTGGCCTGAGGTAATATACTTGACCCTTAATCTTCAGGCTATTAGTTCTGATGTGATAACCTTGCCCCGACAGAAATGTCTCAGCATATGTACTCAAACATTTCTTTCGCCATTCATTCCGACAAACATCTGATTAATATTTTCTCTGCTAACCTCTTTCCATTATTCTTTTTCATGTACGTGATGAGAGTATAAATCAACCTTGAAACTTGCCTTGCGGAAGATTGGACACGGTGGACTTAACACGGCGAAGAGGACTGGGTATGAAGAGAAAATCCACAGTTGCTCTTTAAGTCAAGGGCTTTATTCGAAGATGGAATTCAGTTTTTTATGGACTTCATAGACTCTGCAGAAGTTGGAATTCTGATCAAACAATTAAGTTATAATGAGCAGCAAATAGCTGTGATTATTCGCGGTTCCACAGCTGTGTGTACGCGACTCGAAGACTGATATGGTAGAGTCACATGTTGCTGCAGGCGTTTTTTTTTCACGGTGAGCTGGTTGGTGATATTTGTTGCGTTTCCACAATGTTGTACAGAACGGCTTGCTTTGATGTTGCGACTGGCCTTTGACTTCGCCGGTAAAAACAACACCCCCATTCCTTGTACAAAATTTTGTTAAAGTTTTATGACCCCTTGATTTGTTTGTTCTTCTTCTAAATCACAATTGTTGCTGCCTTAATTTTGTGATTGTGCAGGTTCTGCTGATGATCAAGTGGAGAAGTACGAGCTGTGTTTCGGTCAGAAGTGAAGCGCCAATTAAACCTGAACTTCGCAGATGAGCACTCGATTGAGCAGACGAGTTAGAAACACAGACCTGGATTTTCAAGTTCAGATCCAAACTTTCCAGCTCAATTTCACGACATAAAGCAACTTTTGCTTTTGTGATGGCTATCAACTCACAAGATGAGAAGGTGAGATATTAATAACGGGTCCTCTCGTCATTTTCTAATTGCAAACCGTCCATGCCTCTAAAGATACTTTCATAATTATTGACATGAGAAGCATCTCTTCCAGCCCGTGTTATTCTCTGAGGATCAGAAGACCCGATCGGTGAACTTCTTTGCTCACCCAAAATTCGGCGTGCTGGTCCAGGGCTAGCCTCAGCAGTGCGTGTACGGACATCTGATTCAGCACCAACAAATGCACTACGGCTACTAGAAACAACAACTCACCTGGATGATCCATTTGACTGGCCCAAGACATTGGCACTTGAAAGAGTATTCAAAACGGGTCCTGACATTCTGCGCCTCAAGGAATCCACTGATACCAAACCAGGGGGTTGCCCTCCTTCTGCTCCTGTATGTCTGTCACTATACACAATTCAACAATGGAGCCAAGTCCTTCCATTAAGAGAGTCTGACAGATTCAGCACATCAAATATCTAGTCACAAATGCAGCCTGCCATTTCAAAACAATCGACTTAATCAAAATAAGAGCTCATGTAAAGCCTCACTCCAAAATTAAGAGGCCCAGCATCACCACCAACAGCATGAAGTGCAACTGGAATTATTGAAAGAGGATGCACGGTGAGTGGAAAAAATGCAGGATTAATTTCAGTGTTCATGTCAGATGCAACAGAATCCACTCCCATCCCTTCATTTTGATTACAACAATTTATTTTAACTTTCAGGTCATACGGACAAGCAATCAATACAGCTTCTGACAATGCCCTCCATTTGTTAGTGGTGCCTCTCCTAAAAACACGCTTATTAGGAGATATGCTAAGCACCAGTGTGGATGTTGCCTCGAGCCACTCAGCAGTCAAACCTTCAACTTCATCATAATATATGCGCCTCTCAACCGCAAGCTTTTGAATATAAATTGACATGAACTTTGGGCCTAGTCCCAATATTCTTGCTTCTGATAGTAAGACCTTTTGCTGCTTCAGGATAAACCATATGTAAAGTCTATCACAGGCATCCTTAACATTTCTACTAGCTTTCTTCCTCTCGTTGCAATGATCAGCAATATCTGCAAGTATTCTAGCACTCGGAACGCTATGCTTCAAGGCTGCAGCTGATAAAGCTTCCCTACATTCAACAGATTCTGCAGCATTTTTATCAAAGTTGATGCCTGTGAAACATCTTTTCTTCCCTCCAACTTCCTTTCCCATCTGCTTCAAATAAATGTTTTCGGCCTCTATCGTAGCAAGTAGTGTCCGATGGACAACAATATCTGAATATCGACGTAAAGGTGATGTAAAATGAGTGTATAAAGGGACAGCAAGTGCATAATGACCCCACTCATGCTCATTATCCTTTAAATAACCACTACAGAAGTAAGAAGCCAACTGCATTGGCTTTGTAGCATAGGAAATAAGTATATCATTAAGCACAGGGTCATCCTTGAGCTTTTCCTTTATTTGCTCTAAGGACCGATGGATATGACCAGATGAAGAAGTCTCCAAATTTAAACCATGCTTCTGACAAAATGCAGTCAACTCTTTGAGCTTCCGCATATTAGGTTCAGGATGCCTCCGCAGTAGTGCAACTTCAGGATAAGCTCTACATATTACTTCAGCAGCTGTTGTATTGGCCAAAAGCATAAACTCCTCGATTAGAAAATTTGATTCTCTCTGTTCAGAAAATGTAATATCATAAGGGATGCCATTATCATCAATCAGAATAACAATTTTGGGGTTATCAAGCCGAAGAGCCCCTCTAGTAAATCTCTTGTGTTTCAACACCTTTGAAATTTCATAGAGACTCTTCAAAGAAGTAAGAACATCCGGCCAATCAAAACGGCCATGAACTTTAGGATAGGCATCTTCATGAAAGCTTGAACTCTCAAAATTGAAAGCACTATCAATGATGTCCTGCGCATGTTCATATGAAAGCTTGCAACAAGAATGAATAACAGTGCGACCAATCCAACGGTCTACAACATCCCCATCAACATTTAGATCCAGGAGCATGGAAAATGCTAGTCGATCCACTCCAGGATTAAGAGATCCAATATTTTCTGTGATTAATGTAGGTAACATTGGTATCTTCTTTTGCAACATGTAAACACTAGTTGACCTAAACCGAGCCTGATCATCTAAAAAAGTGTCTGGTACTACAATGTATGATGCATCAGCAATATGGATGCCTACTCTATAATTTCCATTACACAACTTCTCAATTGACAGTGCATCATCCAGATCAGTTGCAGATTCGGCTACTTTGGGTCACAAGTCCTCATGGAAGGAAAACTGGATTTGGGCACTTGTAATAGGTTCGCCGTTGGTTTGACAAAAAGAACTTGTGTTTCTATGGCTTGTGAAATTCTCGTGTGGGCCTTGTAAATAAAATATCAACAACTTTGATAACCTCTTGTAATAACCATCAAATGGTATATTTTGCTACAAAATGTGTAACAAGCCTTTTCCCTCATTGGATGATTTTATTTATGAAACAGGCTTATAAAAGCAATGATCCTCTAGGATTCTTTTCCTTTGCAAATTTCATGATGGACTTGGCACGTAATTTGGGCTTGATGCTAGTTCATGGCTTTGTGGATTTGCAAATATAATAATGGAATCCTAATTTGAACTATAGTTTCCTTTATGTCTTGATATTTACTATTTGCATCTTGAAGTTTGCTTAAACAATTCTTTGATTTTTGGTCTTGAATTAGCAACCCTTTTGATTAAAGTCTCTGTGAAAACAACCCAAAAATAATTGAATCCCAATTGCACCTAGCCAAATGAATCAATATTGAATCTTGATTTAACACTTAAAAACAATTTTTTCACAGATCTTTGGATTCTTCTTGAACCAATACTTTGGATTAACCACCACTCCTACACATCTCAATCCACATAAAATTGACCCAAAACGGCGCACAAAACAAAATATCACAAACCCAATCACCATATGTTCACACATTATGATATGGACAAATGAACAAACTTTTCCTGATAAACCTCACTTTCCTTTCATCCGTCCTTGTGACGTCTTGAATTCAAACTCGCAACAACTTAGGTGGAAGATAACTTATTTTTGTATTTTTGGATAATTGTTGATGGATGAAGGGGTATACGTGATGAAAGTGATATACAGAGGTAGGACAAATTTGGGGTATGACAGATGCCCCTATCTAATTGACTTAGACCGAGTAAGATGAAATGCTGCAGCGTTCATTCTTTCGAGGTAGAAGACAATTAGATATGAAGAAAACCCTGAATTTGTCTGAAAAGGAAAGGAGATCTTAGGAAAATGATGGATGAGGTACCTCTGAGTAGACTGTAAATAACTGGAAAAAAAGTCAACTATCACCAAATAAGATGAAACACACGAGGCTACTACCACCAAAAGGATGATAGAGCAGACACACACAAACAGCATCGCACAATCTATCACCAATTCAAGTAACAGATCCCCTACCAAAAGGATGTAAGGAGTCCATTACCAAAAGGATAATGGAAAATACGCTAGTCATGACACCGAAAGGATGCCAGACCCATCACCAAATAGGATGATGGAGCGGAGACGCTAGTCATAACACAAAAAGGATGTAGGGAGGATAAGCTTCTCTGAAGAGATTGCCACTTATCACTGAAGATGGATAAGCTTCTCTTAAGAGATCGCCACTTATCACTGAAGATGGATAAGCTTCTCTGAAGAGATTGCCACTTATCACTGAAGGTGGATAAGCTTCTTTGAAGAGATCGCCACTTATCACTGAAGATGGATAAGCTTCTCTGAAGAGATTGCCACTTATCGCTGAAGATGGATTTCTTCTCTGAAGAGATCGCCACTTATCACTGAAGATGGATAAGCTTCTCTGAAGAGATTGCCACTTATCGCTGAAGATGGATAAGCTTCTCTGAAGAGATTGCCACTTATCACTGAAGTCTGGATAAGCTTCTCTGAAGAGATTGCCACTTATCACTGAAGATGGATAAGCTTCTCTGAAGAGATTGCCACTTATCACTGAAGATGGATAAGCTTCTCTGAAGAGATTGCCACTTATCACTGAAGGTGGATAAGCTTCTCTGAAGAGATTGCCACTTATCGCTGAAGATGGATAATCTTCTCTGAAGAGATTGCCACTTATCACTAAAGGTGGATAAGCTTCTCTGAAGAGATTGCCACTTATTGCTGAAGATGGATAAGCTTCTCTGAAGAGATTGCCACTTATCACTGAAGGTGGATAAGCTTCTCTGAAGAGATTGCCACTTATCGCTGAAGATGGATAAGCTTCTCTGAAGAGATTGCCACTTATCACTGAAGGTGGATAAGCTTCTCTGAAGAGATTGCCACTTATCGCTGAAGACGGATAAGCTTCTCTGAAGAGATTGCCGCTTATCGCTGAAGATGGATAAGCTTCTCTGAAGAGATTGCCACTTATCACTGAAGATGGATAAGCTTCTCTGAAGAGATTGCCACTTATCACTGAAGTCTTCTGGAGACAACTCACTGGGAAACGCCCATGGATTTACTGGAGATGCCCCTGTCCGTGCTGATTGTTGATTTGAAGATCTGATTAACCATGAGGTTGCAATACATCCTGCAATACACCCATGGTCTTGAAAAGATGCCCCTGGTTTGGGCTGAATTTTGCTTTAGTGATCTTGAATTTTGTGGGAGGACCCACGGTCTTGCAGATAATGTCCCTGACTAGGCTGATGATTGCATTGAAGCTCTTGAATTTGCCCAACAAATTGTTGAACAAATTCGTGGGGAACGCCCACGGTCTTGCGGAAGATGCCCCTGACTGGGCTGATGATTGCATTGAAGCTCTTGAATTTGCCCAACAAATTGTTGAACAAATTCGTGGGGAACGCCCACGGTCTTGCGGAAGATGCCCCTGACTGGGCTGATTAGGATCTTGAAAATCTTCGAAATTGATCCTGGATCTGATCTCGTATATGTAAATGCTTGATGATAATGATGTTCCATAACGAATGGAAATGCAAATGCAAATGCTAATACGCGGTGATGCAAGAGCTGAGGAAAGTATGATGTAATCATAGGTATGTATATGATGCAAGATGCTTATGAAGCAAGATGCTTATGAAGCAAGATGCTTATGAAGCAAGATGCTTATGAAGCAAGATGCTTATGAAGCAAGATTCTTATGATGTCGAATGCGATGCGTATGATGCATATGATTGCGGACGGGCAATGGAAATACAGGTGCCGACATGGCGGACTTTGGTGGTGGGAAAGTGAAAGATAAGCCTGACTTCCCGACATCATCTATTTATGATGTATAAAGAACTTGGATGTGTTGAGATTTTCAGCTCATGGCCTGCTCTGCCGGGTTTGACGACCTTGTCAGTCAAGTCGTTACAAGATTTAGAATGATGTTCCTGCGTATTCTTTAGAGTCATGGTCACCCTTTAGTTACCCCAAAAGGGTAAGTTATCCCTTAGTCTAATTTACCATAATGTCATTATATGCAAAACCTATCATCAAACAAATGAAACTTGCAACCAATGGGTAAATAAAAATAGAAAAAGCTTTGATGAAAGTAATTTTATTGATGAAAACCCATAGACGGGAAAATTACAAAAGGAGGCAATTCCTAAAAGAGGTAACTGCTTTTAAAAGAGAAAATAAAGACTAAGACAATGTTGAAACATGGTCCCTGCCAAGTTTCAAATCCGCTATGGCCCATATGTCTCTGAAGACCCTTCACGCCTTGCTTTTGAGCGCCAGAATCGAATTGATCTTTCTCAGTCGAGAGCTTGACGGTTACGAGGAATAATTCACATGTCTTTTCAAGATGCAGTTCTGCTTTTTTGAATCCCTAACTTTTGCCTAGGCCGCCTTTTCAGGTTTTCAGCCTATCAGGATACTCTTTTTTTTTTAGTCCCTAATTTTGCCTGAACCATTTTTATGGTCCACCAGGACGCCCATTTTTGCGTGGATTTTCTTTTTGGGTCCACCAGGCCTATCTTTTAGGCATAATATTTTTTAACTGCATCTGCATTTACAGGGGATGAGAGATCGTCACCATCCATGGTTGACAGGATCAAGGCCCCTCCGGAGAAAACTTTCTTTACTATATACGGACCCTCATAGTTTGGTGCCCACTTTCCCCTTGGATCGACGTGAGTTGGCTGAATTTTCCTTAGTACCAAATCTCCTGCTTGGATGTGTCGTGGGCGAACCTTCTTATCAAAGGCCCTCTTCAATCGTTTTTGGTATAATTGTCTATGACAGATGGCCGTCATGCGTCTCTCGTCGATGAGATTGAGTTGGTCGAGTCTGGCTTGTATCCATTCGGCCTCATCTAGCTTGACGTCTGCTAAAATCCTTAAGGAGGGAATCTCTACTTCAATGGGCAATACTGCTTCCATGCCATATACGAGAGAAAACGGGGTTGCCCCGGTGGAAGTGCGCACTGAGGTGCGGTAGCCATGCAACGCGAACGACAACATCTCGTGCCAGTCTTTGTAAGTCTTCACCATCTTCTGGACGATTTTCTTAATGTTCTTATTTGCCGCCTCAACAGCTCCGTTCATTTTAGGGCGATAAGGTGTTGAATTGTGGTGTTCAATTTTGAAGTTTTCACACAACTCTTTCATCATCTTATTGTTGAGGTTTGAACCATTGTCTGTAATGATCTTGTTCGGGATTCCATATCGACAAATAATCTCTTTTTTGATGAAGCGAGTCACCACTTGCTTAGTGACGTTGGCATAGGACGCCGCTTCTACCCATTTGGTAAAGTAATCGATGGCCACTAAGATAAAACGGTGCCCATTTGAAGCGGTTGGCTCGATGCGTCCGATTACATCTATACCCCACATAGCGAAGGGCCAAGGCGAAGTCAAAACATTCAGAGGGAGTGGTGAAGTATGGACCTTGTCTGCGTAAATTTGGCACTTGTGGCATGACTGGACATGGAGACAACAATCTGTTTCCATCGTCATCCAATAGTATCCTGCCCTCAAAATCTTTTTAACCATAGTATGACCACTAGCATGTGTCCCAAAAGATCCTTCATGCATTTCATTTATGATACGCTTTGCCTCGTGTTTATCCACGCATCTGAGTAGAACCGAATCGT